GAGTTTTAACCAGCTAATTGTTTGGTATCGCTTCACATGACTTTAAATCAGGGTAAACACACTTGAGGTGAAGTGAAACCCCCCCCTCAAATCAGTCGATTCGAGTAAGACACTTTTTTTTAAGAGTAAGATCAATTTGTCTGAAATCGAACCGTCTGAAACTTTGACACATGACTCGTGAGCACCTTGGAATTATCCGGACACTTTCAACATTTTGGATTTTGGAAAGAAATTTGTTAACTTAATCGAAACTAGAACAAAATGAAGTCGAGCTCTCATATTTCGATAGATATACAATTATTGAAGGCTCTAATATGATAAATGAAAGTGTCAGGACGATTGTACGACAAGTAAGAACACTCTGGTAATTGATAAACTCGCATTTGAACGAGATAAAGGCAAAAAAAGTGTCTTATGCGCTGGTATGCTAGAACGATGGTAATACGAGGTCTAGGAGTGAAAATTTAGTTGACACGGAAATCACCGATGGCGCAGGGGGTCCCTCTGCAATCAATTAGGGCCTCAGAAACCATAAATCCAGGGGGTTTCTGAAGTTTTGCTTCGAATTCTTTATAATTATTATACGAAAACGACAAATCGAGTATGCCATTTAGTACAATACTCAATATAATTCGTCACGGCTGTCAATATAAAAAAGAGCATCGGCAACGTAGGTACGTTTCTGTACTCGAAGTTGCGAGATTCATCCGTATTAACCCTTAACACTCCAAGTCTGCCTCCCAAGCACCATTTGTAAGTCGAATTATGATGAGAATAAGTTGGAGCTGCCGATCGATATTCACAATTAAAAGTCGGAGTGTTAAGGGTTAAAACAGTTCCACAAATCGGTCCCAGAAAATCGTCGCGGGATTAAAAAATGGAAAAAGGCGTCGCAGGGCTCTGCCATGCCGCGAAACGCGAGAGATCCCTCCAGCTTGCTGCGAAGCCAGGAAAGTAATCCGAGCCGAATACGGAGTAAAAGTGCGATCGATCGGATATCGGCGTGTTCGAGCGTGGAGGGCGGTCACGATCACGCGCGAATTCGCCGCTCCGATTTCCTCGCATCCGCCCTCGTCCCACGCCCGGAGGTCAAGGGGAAAAAAAAGCGCAAAGAAAAATCCGAAGCGTCCTTTCGATTCTAAATTGGCCCTTTCAAGTGCCTCCACCTCTTGATGCGCGTAATTCCGTTTTGCTCGATTATTACTAATTCCACGTTATCTAATAATCTCTGTGACTCGAATAAGCCACCTCGACCCTGTAGCTATTAAGAGCGCCTAAAGTCGCCCGACGTTTGGTCCAATATTGCCTGCACGGTCAGACGAATTTCGCCCATATGTCGAAAATATTTTCACATTTTGATATATAGCATGATCCTTTCATATCATCTTTAAGGTACACATGTACTTTCCATTTTGGTCCCTTTTACGGAGCCTCGAGAGTGCCGCGGTTCGGCTTGCAAATAATGCAAACATTGCAGATCTTCGCGTGTGATCTCCAGCGGATTTTGAATTAAATTTTCTCTATCTGAATGTAATGTTTACATCGATGAGTTTAATATCCGTGAATTATTTTATGAAGAGATACGACGATCGTTTCGGTAATGAAGCGGAGTCGCCACACGCGGTGCAATTTTCTTTGATGCAGTTTTCCGCGGTGCAGTTTTTCGCTATGCAGTTTTTCTCTGTGCAGTCTTCCACTGTGCCGTTTTCCACGGTGCAGTTTTCCGCTGTGCAGTTTTCTGCGATGCGGTTTTCCGCGGTGCAGTTTTCTCGGTGCGGTTTTCCGCGGTGCAGTTTTCTCGGTGCAGTTTTCCGCGGTGCAGTTTTCCGCTGTGCAGTTTTCCGCGGTACAGTTTTCCGCGGTGCATCGGACGAGCAGCGGAGAGACGAGTGCAGCTTCGTTTTCCGTTCCTTTTTTTCTATATCCCGCTCTCTCTCGCGCGCGCTCTCTGTCCCTCTCCCTCTCCGCCTCGTGCTCTGGGGCGAAATTCCACTTCTTTTTCTGGGCCGCGTCGGGAGAGTCTGCGGCCTCGGGAGATTGTTTCCGAAAATAGCCGGCAATCCGGGCGGAACGGCACCGCCTGGCGATTCGCTCGCGAGAGGAGCGCGCGAGTTCGCGTCGAAGCGAGACGCGCGTCTCGGAAGCCACTTCCGGTCCGGCGGAACCTCTCGAGGGGGTCGGCTTTGACGGACGAGGCGCAACAGGTGGATCCCCGACCTCCACTTGTTGAGCATCGCCTAGGAGAGGGGAAAGGAGGGGGAGAGAGAGAGAGAGAGAGAAAGAAGATGTAATCCTAAAGCCCGGTTGCATCAACCGTGATTTTTAATCTTTTCCAATTACTATCAGGGAAAAGATAAGATTCGCGAAAATTAGTAAAGAACTTAGAAAAGAATTAGGCCAACGGGAAATTAAAATCCGCGATCAGGTTACCGAAAATCGGGCGGTCAACTTTAAGGTGATGTGAAAGTGGCGTCGAAGAGGTTTCGTTTATAAAACTTTTCTCCCAACTCGGTTTACCGAATAGTTTGAGACGTTACAACGTGAATAGAGAGACTATAGGGAAGGTCCTGAAACTCATGAAATTTCAATTCTTTTCGAATTTGTTTATAGATATTTTAAAAATAGTTCATAAAAAATGAAATTTCCCGAGTTTCAGGGCCTACCTTAGGGTCTCCATATTCACGGTTTTAAAGAATGAAACGACTTGAGACACCCAGTTCGTAGAAAAGTTTTATGAACGATTGAGCTTTCGGACGCCACTTTCACATCCCCTTAACCACGCGACAATTGTGCCCATAATTATGAAAGTGGTCTAAGTCATATATTTTTTGTTTCGAAATTACATTGAATTAATTTCGTTTGAAATAATATGGGGTGAAATAACTGATAAACTCATTTTTTTTTTATTTTTGACTTAAACCACTTTCATAATTATGGGCACAATTGATCCTGGATTAAGGATTTTGATCCGAGTATCGGGGCGAACAAGAGCGAGACTCCACGGGCACCGTGATACGAAAGTCAAGGGTCTCGACTCGAGAATCCCACGGATAGAGCGATCGAGCGCGAAACGAAGAAAAAGGACGCGAATTAATGGGAGAGGGAGCGAGAAGGCACGAGGTGCCAGGGGTGCCGTACTCCAGATACACCTGTACGCGCGCGTGGGTGTATCCGGAGATACACCTGCGGGCGTATCCGCCGATACGGCCGTAGGTGTAATTACAGGTACACGAGTGGGCATAGCCCCCTCGCGTACGCACGCGGATGCTGGACACGGGCGTGAGTCAGGCCGCGTTTGGGTCTCGCTCTCTCGGCTCTGGCCAAAGATTCTCTGAATGAAATCTAAAGATAGGCCTCCCCTCCCCTCCTTCCTTGCACATCCTGCTTCCCGGGCTCTCCTTCTCGCCCCTCCTCTCGGTCTCTCTCTCTCCCTCGCTCTCCTCGGCTTCTCGTGAAAAGAGGTCCCTCTAATTTACGACGTCTACTCGTGGGACTCCGTGCTCTCCGGCGCCCCCGAGGTCTCCCCCTCTCTCTTCTTCTCGCGCTCTTCTCTCCACTCTTCCTTCGACTCCGCTCTCCTCTACCTCGTATTTCGGTCTTCTCGGCCTCCGGTGGGTCCGTTCCCCCGACCCTGGGCTTTCGGGGGGCCCCGAAGGTGATCCTGCCCTCTCGTTTTTCTTCCTGCTTTTCCCAGCTCCTCTTTCTGCCGCGAATCGCCCAGCATCCCTAATAGAGTCCTGGTCGCATCCACGTCTCGTTCAGACTATTTCCCTCGGCGGATTGGACCACTGGGAAGATAGTGCCACGACTATCCTCCACCTGGACACCACGAGCTCTCGTTCCCCTAGAGTTACGCAATTCTCTCCATCCATCGATCTCCAGCAATTCCTCGAGATGCCCACTTGCCGGAGATTTGGCGCGTTCCTTTTCTCCCCCGTGCCGAAAATAGTCCCTCGTGATGTCTAGTTCGCCGATAAGCTCGCACGAGCGAGTGGACTCCTAACCTCGATGATCCCCGGTTTTCGGCCTTTCCTGCTATCCGGACTCGTTCTTTCTGCTCCTCGGGATCGCACTTCCGGGGACGTTAATTCGATCGCTCGAGACCGTAGGGGGTCTTCGATCGAGCCACCTCGAGGAAAGCTACTCGGGGGTGATCCCTAAGTCTCGACTTTCCCGGCTACTATCTTCCCGCCCTGGTCCCCCTTCCAACATCGGAGGACGGCATCTCTCGCGATATTCAACACCATCGGCGCTATTTTTAATCCGAAAGTCTCTACGGTGTCGCGTTGTCGGACGCGACCTCGGGGATCATCTCTGGGGCGTTTCCGTGCACGTGGAAAAAATAGAAAAACAAAAAAAGAAATGATAACCAATTTTACCCGGAGTCCCATATACGAGAAAACGCCCAGAAATTAAATCCCCCACGCGTGTGCCGACAGACACGGGCAAATATTATAATTATTAATCGTTCCAGTGGTTTGAAAAAAAGATTCCTATTGCTCCAAAAAAAAAAAAAAAACTGAGAAGACCTCCCAAAATCACTTGACAGAACGCACGACGCAAAATCCAGGGGGCCTTTATCCGAAAGTTCCCATCTCGCAGCATTGAGATTCCAGATCGATAGAAGATACCTTACGTAAACCCGCGACAGGAGAACCCGGACTGCGAAGTATCCGCGTCAAAGTCCGAATAGTAAGTCCCGACTGCCGAGACATTCGCAAGAAAGTCCATAATCGAGGACAACTTCAGAGCGCGATTAGAATGGACCTCCCGATTTCGCGTGTCACGCTGAAACAGCGAACGTCACTCGAATTGTACCAGTCCGCTCCGAATTGCGGCAATTGAAGCGTAATTAAAAAAAAAAAAACAAAAAAATAAATAAACAAATCACCCCGATCACTTTGCAACTAGCCCTTAAAGTATCTCCCAGGAGGCGAGAGATTCGGGCTCCTTGCTCCGCGAGGGGTAGTCGGGGAAGAGTCGCGCCAGGTTGAACTTACGTGTGTCCCGGGCGGGCAGGTGCTCGCCGACGTTCCTCGGGATCGTCCCGGGGCAGGGGTGAGGTGGGCGAGAGGGACGCTCGCGGCGCCGTCGAGCACTGTCAAGTTCACCAACACTGGGGGGTCCAGCGGGTCCTCGCCCGTGGGGGTAACTCGCGGTGGTCGTCGGATCGAGCGGGGGCAGTCGCGGTCAAAGGGCGTCGGGTCTCCCGGAAGAGGTCGACCAGGGGAGACGGGGGGGGGGGGGGAGGCGCGGGGCCTCCTCGCGGCGGGTCGGGTCGGAGCGGTGGGCGCGACGAGGAGTCGCGGCTCGGTCCTCGGAGGGTGCGTATCGGTGGCGGCCGATCGGTCGATCCGTGAGAGATCGTCGGACGCGGCTCTCGTGGAGGTTCGGGCTAACATTAACTAGCGCGCGGAGTGCAGCCGCTTATAATATGGCCGAGGCGCGAACCAATCGGATCCCGCGCTCCTGCCGGGCCCCCCACTCCCCCTGTATCGAAGCGAGACCCCCCGCGTGTTATTCCCGATCGTCATCCTTTTTTTCGCTTCCCCGAAGCGATCGCGAGCGAGTCTCTCCCGGGCCTCCCTCCTCCTCCCTCCGGCCGCCCCCCCTTCCGGCCGCCCTCCCTCCCTCCCTACGCGTTTGGGTCGGGGACCGGGACTCCCGGAACCCCGCGCGCGTCACTCGCGACTCGACCGCGCGCCGAGCAGGACGCGGGGAGCGCGGCGCGACCGAGGCCGAGCGAGACGGGGAGAGCGGCGCGCGCAGGGTGGGGGAGGCCCCTCTCTCTCTCTCTCTCTCTCTCTCGCTCTCTACCTCGACGCCTCCGGCGCCCTCCCTTCGCGAGAGATCAACCGAGAGAGTCTCTTCCGGCTCGCGCGGCCCGAAGGACTCGGCCCGAGGAATTCCTCCGCCTGGTGCAAACTCCCTCCTCGGTTACATCAACCGGCCGACGGTTGCGCGAGCCGCGGAACGACTGCGGATACGCTCCGGCCCGCGACCCTCCGAGATCTCGAGAGATTGGTCGGGGGCAAAAAGAGACCGCCTCACCTGTCGCGCTTATCGCCCCTTATCTCCTCTATCTTTCCTGTCTCGCGCGGGTCACCCGCGGTCTCGCGGGACGCGTTTTTTTTACCCCCGTATCGGGACACCGCGGGACAGCCCCTCCTAATTGGCTCGCAATTAAACTCCCCCCACCCTCGGCGGGCACCGTGACGCAAATCGACCGCTCGCTCGATCACTCACCGACGATCGCGATTTCCGCGGAAGAAGGGAACTCGTATGTGCCCTTGGGTCGAGTTTTCGCGTTCTCTTTGATGAGCGACGCGCGGGGTTGGGGGCGCTCTTTAATTAGGCTCTGGTCTACGGAATTATGACATCCCGAGTCGCTTTCATAGGAATCCATCTTCCGGGTTTTTCGGGATATCTGCTATGGGTAATCGCGTATATAATAGTGCTGCTTTGTAAGGCTGTTTTGCTGGAAATGTGATGTTGCATGTGTCCGCGACTGGGCGTCAATTTGCAAATTTCTACGATTGAATCAATTGGCATTGTCTCCGGGTTTGACGTATGTGCGCGTTGCGCTCCTTACTCGTCGAGTGTCGTAAGCGTTTATTTCCGTGAAAATTGGGTTCGAGGGGATTAATGGCGGGTTTTGTCGCGTTCTTATCGAGTGGGTGGAATAGATTTGCAAGGTCTTGGTTGTTGGTGGATCGGATGGGCCGATCGATTCGCGATCGATTCTATCCGATCTGGACCCGAGGGACTGCTAAATGGCGGCATCCCACTGGAGCTGATCTCCGCTGCGGCTTTTACTTCCGCGAGGTTGCGACACGCCTCCTGCACTTTCCCGCTCGTGGGAACGTGCGTGGCTTGACTGACGATTTTTAATCCGATCGATANTAAATATATAGAAAATATAAGACAAATATTTTGTGCTACCAGGGAAGCGAGGAAGGACGAAATTCAGATTACGCGCAGAATTTAACCCTTTTGGTTGCTTATCTGTACACGCTCGAAAATCATTATCGGCGACGGAGTAACTATTGAAGATAGTATCATGTGAGAAAATTTCTAATGTTTATTATGTGCAACATGTGTTAAAGTGTACCGCAGCGGATGGATCGAGTCCTCGATTAGCGAACGATTTCATTGAACGTTATCGATGCCCCATCCTAAATCTCTGGTCTGTCGGATTGTCTTTTATTATCTCGAGGCCTGTCGACCGCAGCATCCCAAAGCGGTCCACGACGGGAGCACGCCTCTAATCAATGAGGCTCCCTCGTTTTTCTTGAATGGTCTTATCGCTCCGCGCACTCGAGCGATACGGCCCAGATATCTGCCCGGCAATATTTACATCACTCCTCCCGAAATACCCGAGTCGTCAAATGAAGAACTCGAGGAGAGGAAAAAGATGAGCATTATCATAGTCGCCAACTGCGTAGATACATCCGAGTTCAAGGCACCGAGCCGAGCGCTCTCCCATTTGCATACGTCCATGAGTCAAAGGCCCGGGGATACCGATTTCGGAAATTAAAGTTCCAGGACACGCGTTTAAGGAGATGTGAAACCCCCTTCAAATCAGTCGACTCGAATACAACACTTTCTTTTAACACTATTTCTACCACGATTTTGTATATACCTATTTCGACCAAAAGGTTCTGATGAGCTGGAGGAAAATGATACCGCTAAATAAATTCAACAATTATTATACGAAAACTCAAAACATTAATTGAGATAAAATTATTAAACTTTGAAAATAATTTCAAGTTAAAATTTTAAAAAGTGTCTTTTGACACCTTTGGTAAAAATAGTGGTAAGGGTATTAGACCAAACTTTCCGAAACTTTGACACATCACTCCTGATCATCTAAGAATTGTCTCGACACGTTCAAAATTTGGATTTTTGGAAAAAATTCTTTAACTTATCCCAGACCAGACCGGATGTGAAAGTGGCATCCGAAGGCTCAATCGTTCATAAAACTTATCTACGAACTGGGTGTCTCAAATCGTTTCATACTTTAAAACGTGAATATGGAGACCCTAAGGTAGGTCCTAAAACTCGGAAAATTTCATTTTTTATCAACTATTTTTAAAATACCTATAAACAAATTAGAAAAGAATTGAAATTTCATGAATTTCGGGACCTTCCTTATAGTCTTCCTATTCACGTAGTAAAGTTTCAAACTATTCGGTAAACCGAGTTGGGAGAAAAGTTTTATTAACAAAACCTCTTCGATGCCACTTTCACATCACCTTAATAACACCATTCCGATCGTTTTTCCCCACCGGAAGACCTCTTTTCGTCCCCGATACCCGAATCAGCCCATCTAGTTGGCTGTCGCGAGATGTGCCAAAAATATTTCGTTAAAATTAAAAATATCCCCTCCCTCTCTCTCTCTCGTTAAGTTTCCACGTAAGAGCACATAAGTGGACGTTTACTTTGCCGTATACTTAAGTGACGTCAACGTCCACGTGTTCCGTTATGCGAATAAAAGCCAACGACTGTTCCGCCGCGATCCGGCTGTCGATCCTTGGGCTCGTTGCCGGAGAACTCTCCTTCATTTTTCACCTCTCCCGTTTTCCCTCTCCTCTTTTATCCTTCTTCCTTCTCTCTTTTATTACTCCCCTCTTCACTTTTCTCGCGTGTCGCGACTCGCGGCCGATTTCCATCGACGTCTTCCTCCTCCGAGGAATATCTCCACTCGGGAGACTTTCCAATGGTGATTCATTCGATGAGGCTTCGCGTAATGAGCTACGGGGATTCGATTACGTGCAATTACGTGTGTACACACATCTCGTGGTATATTTACTACGCGATACCCGCTCGGATTCGTTTCCGCTGATTCGGACCGCCGCGGGGAAAAAAACCGGCGCTTAACGGACGGCCGAGCTAGTTATATTTCCGCGACGCGGAATCCTGGATTCGCGGAATCCCACCGCGTCCTTACGATGTATCTTTTAGCCTTCCGGAAAACCGGCGGAGGTTTTCCAGGCCGTTTGTCTCGGGGAAACTGGAGCTCTTTTCATCGCCGGCTCGAGTGCGTGATCAGGAAACTCGGCAGAGTTTCGCGCCAAATACATTTACAAGCCATGCGCGAACGGCACCGAATACTTTACGCCAAAGTTCGGCTCGTCAATTCGATAAATATTTTTCTCCTCGAATAAGAGAACTTATTATGGACTCATATCTGGCATAATGAAAGTACGTTCCGTTTTGTAGAGCCTGTAATTTTTTTCAGATTTTTTAGATCTTTCATATATATTGCGCTCGCATAAGGTTTTCCAGGCCGTTTGTCTCGAGGAAACTGGAGCTCTTTTCATCGCCGGCTCGAGTGCGTGATCAGGAAACTCGGCAGAGTTTCGCGTCAAATACATTTACAAGGCATGCGCGAATACTTTACGCTAAAGTTCGGTCCGTCAATTCGATAAATATTTTTCTCCTCGAATAAGAGAACTTATTATGGANATATATATATATATATATATAAGTCCGGGGTTGATTGCACCAACTGTGATTATCGTGTAATTTCTAACCATGATTAGTTAACCGTGGACCAGCGAAATTCGCGTTATACCGATGAAAATCAGGCTAACCAAAGATTAAAATCAGCTGTTCGATAACCACCTCGAGTCGGGCGATTGGCTCTAATCACGCGTTAAGTAATCTTCGATTAAAGACATTAACGCTAATGTTGGTGCAACCGGCCCTGAAAGCAGTCAATGGCAAGTATGGAAATTCATACCGTGGACGGTCTGACGATTACCACTTTTTCCACTAATTTCCCCCCGCGTACCTGAGGTACAGAGATTGCAGTTCGTGCGATTATATTTATTTTCCGGGTATGCAAATATTTTTATTTTCCCTACCATTGCATATTTCCCTGCACCGAAACCCCTCGTTTCACGGAACCGGAGATTTACGGATTGTCGGAAACTTTGCAGCGTGTTACTTGCCCGCGATACAAGTGGATACTTAAAATCCAGTATGCAGCTCGCAAGCTGATGAAATCAGGTCATGTGTTTCTTTAAGCCATAACGATCGACGCATTCTCACTTGAGACTAAGCCTCTGAATATTCGAAACGCACGCGTTAAGCACGCACCTCGCATACCGTAAGTGGTTAAAAGTGGCCGGTCGTAACAATGGCGGTCTAAAGTTAGAAGAGTTGACTGACGAGTGCAAGGAAATACCGATAAATAAATCTCATGGTCCTCGC